ATTCCTGGGATGAATCCCACTTGGTCATGGTGTATAATCTTCTTGATGATTTGCTGGATCCTATTTGCCAATATTTTATTGAGGATTTTTGCATCTGTGTTCATTAGGGAGATCGGTCTATAGTTCTCTTTTTTAGTTGGGTCTTTCTCAGGTTTTGGTACTAGAGTGATATTTGCTTCCAGGAATGACTTAGGAAGGATTGCTTCCCTTTCGATTTCATTGAATAGTTTGAGGAGTGTCGGCATTAGGTCTTCTTTGTATTTCTTGTAGAATTCTGCAGTGAATCCATCTGGGCCTGGGCTCTTCTTGGTGGGTAAGGACTTAATTACATTTTCAATTTCAGTAACCGAGATTGGGTTATTCAACAATTTTACATCCTCTTGATCTAGCTTTGGCACTTCATATGCTTCTAAGAAACTGTCTATTTCTTCTGTGTTATCAAACTTTTGAGAGTAGAGGTTTTCGAAATAGGTGTTGATGATCTTCTGTATTTCTATTGGGTCTGTAGTGACTTCTCCTTTTTCATTTCTTATTGCATGAATTTGAGCGTTTTCTTCCCTTTTTTTAATAAGGTTGGCTAGGGGCTTATCGATTTTATTTATTCTTTCAAAGAACCAACTCTTTGATTTGTTGATCCTTTGGATTGTTTTCTTAGTCTCTATTGCATTGATTTCTGCTCTGATTTTTATAATTTCCTCTCTTCTTTTGGCTTTGGGCTTGACTTGCTCTTCTTTTTCTAGCTGTTTGAGGTGTAGCATCATGTTATTTATTTGTATTCGTTCTGTTTTCCTGATGTGGGAACTCAGTGCAATAAATTTTCCTCTCAGGACGGCTTTCATTGCATCCCACAGATTCCGGTAAGTTGTATCTGCATTTTCATTTTCTTTTAGGTATTGTTTGATTTCTTCTTTAATTTCTTCTGTGACCCACTGATTACTCAAGAGTGTGTTATTCAGTTTCCATGTGTTTGTGGGATTTTTGCAGTATCTTTTATCGTTAATTTCTAATTTCAGAGCACTGTGATCCGATAACATGCAAGGGATGATTTCAGCTCTTTTGTACTTGTTTAAATATGTTCTATGAGCTAATATATGGTCTATTTTAGAAAATGATCCATGTACTGCTGAGAAGAATGTGTATTCTGATGTTGTTGGGTGGAACATCTTGTATATGTCTATCAAACCCATTTGTTCACAGGTATGATTCAGTTCTGTTATTTCTTTACTCATTTTCTGTCTGGTCGATCTGTCCCTTGGTGTCAATGGCATATTAAGGTCTCCTGTTACAATTGTGTTACTGATAATTTGAGTTTTCATTTCTGTTAATAATTGTTTTATATAACTGGGCGCTCTGGAGTTTGGTGCATATATATTTAAGATAGTTATCTCTTCCTCTTGGAGTTTTCCCCTTACGAGTATGTAGTGACCTTCTTTATCCTTTATGGTCATTGTTGGTTTAAAGTTCACGTTGTCTGCAAACAGAATGGCTACTCCTGCCTTTTTTTGGATTCCTGCTGCATGAAGAATTGTTTTCCATCCTTTGACTTTCAGTCTGTGAGTATCCTTCTGGGTTAGATGGGTTTCCTGTAAACAGCATATGGTTGGATTTTGTTTCTTGATCCATTCTGCTAGTCTGTTTCTTTTGATTGGTGCATTGAGACCATTTACATTAATGGTTATTACTGTAAATGTTGGTTAATTGTAGGATTCTTATCTCTCTGCTGTTGCATCTTTATCTTTCTGTTCTGTTTAATTATTTGCGTTGCTTAATGGTTTTTTCCTTTGTGTATCTAAACTGTCTTTCAATATTTTTTGCAGGGTTGGTTTGGTGTTCATGAAGTTCTTCAGCTGTTCTTTGTCATGGAAGTATCGTATTTCACCATCTATTTTAAATGATAGTTTTGCAGGATATATCAGTCTAGGTTGGAAATCATTTTGCTTTAGGATCTGGAATACTTCACTCCATGCTCTTCTTGACTTTATTGTTTGTGATGAGAAGTCTGCTGTGATTCTGATAGGTTTTCCTTTATAAGTGATCTGTCTTTTCTCTCTGACAGCTTTTAATAATCTATTCTTGTGTTGGATTTCTGGGATGGTGATTATTATATGTCTGGGTGTAGTTTTATTTTGGTTATGACTATTTGGAGTTCTATATGCTTCACTGATCCTGATGTCAGTTTCTGATCTCATGCTTGGGAAGTTTTCAGCTATTGCTTCTCTAAATATCCTCTTGATATCCTTTATGTTGTCTCCTTCTTTTTCATTAATCCCTATCATTCTTATGTTATTCTTCTTTGCATCATCTTGCAGTTGTTGAATTGTTGTTTCCTGATTCCTTGTTATTTTTAAAAGATCTTTCCTTTCCTGTTCACTAGCTGCAATCCTGTCTTCAAGGTCTGAAATTCTATCTTCACTTTCATTAAGGCGGTTTTTACAACTTTCAGTGGAGTTTTTTATTTCCTGTATATCTCTGTGCATCTGCATTATGTATTCTGTTTGTTTCTTATATTGCTCATCTAGGGATTCTATCTTTTTGTTTAGTTCCTCCAATTTTTTATCTGTGTTTTCTTTAGATATATTTAGAATCTCTTTCATTTCTTTTATCATTTCTTCTTTTATCTGGGATATTATTTCGAGTTTGAATTTCTTTAAAGCTTCCTGGAGTTGCTTGTCAACTTCAGTGGCTATTGTGTCTGATATATGAGGAGGATGGGATATATTTTCTTCTAAATACATTTCTCCTAGGGTTTCCTGAGATGGGCTGGAGGTTTGAGGTTGTAATTTGGTCTTTTGTTTTGTCATTTTCCTATATTTCTGTGTTTCAAGTGTTATTTGAAAGCCTCCTCAGGATCTGTTGAAAATCCCCTTCTATGTTTGCAGCTACTGAGACTCTGGCACCACGCTACCCCAGGCCATTGGGCCTGCAGAACCAATGGCCCTCCTCTGCTTGTTCAGAACTCCGCGGTTCCAGACAAGCTGGGCCTCAGGGACACTGTGCGCCCTCCTGCCCCTTGGTAGATCCACAGCTCTTGGATCGCAGCCGGGTTAGGGTACTCACCACAGACCGCAGTGCCTCAGGAGCCTGTGATCCCTCCCTGCTTGCAGAGATATCCACAGTCCTCCAGACAAAGGAAGGGCCTCCTGCGGGTACTCCGGATCCACCCAGCTCCTCCTCTGCACGCAGATGGCTATGCGCGGCTGGGCACAGGCCGAGGTGCCTCAGGAACCTGGGATCCCTCCTCCTCCAGACAAAGGAAGGGACTTCTGCAGGCACTCCAGATCCGTGCAGCTCCTCCTCTGCACACCAATGGCTAGGCGCGGCTGGGCACAGGCCGAGGTGCCTCAGGAACCCGGGATCCCTCCTCCTCCAGACAAAGGAAGGGGCTTCTGCAGGCGCTCCGGATCCGCGCAGCTCCTCCTCTGCACACCGATGGCTAGGCGCGGCTGGGCACAGGCCGAGGTGCCTCGGGAACCTGGGATCCCTCCTCCTCCAGACAAAGGAAGGGGCTTCTGCAGGCACTCCGGATCCGCTCAGCTCCTCCTCTGCACACCGATGGCTAGGCGCGGCTGGGCACAGGCCGAGGTGCCTCGGGAACCTGGGATCCCTCCTCCTCCAGACAAAGGAAGGGGCTTCTGCAGGCGCTCCGGATCCGCGCAGCTCCTCCTCTGCACACCGATGGCTAGGCGCGGAGTTTTTGGAGGTTTCAGTCCACACTCAGTTGTCTCCAAGACAGGCAGGCATGGTTGGGCTGCAGTTCATGGCGGCTGCCAGCAGCAAACTCCCTTGCTATGTAATTCAAGCTGGCCTTGGACTCACTATGTAGCCCAGCATGACCTCGAATTCACAGCAAACCTCCTGCCTCTGCCTCCCAAGTGCTAGGATTACAGGCATGTGCCACCATGCCTGCTTATTAACGTAAGATCCTTTATTCAATGACAAATCGTTAGGCTGAAATTTTTTAAGCAAAAGTATATTTCTTAGTCCCTTGATTTGAAAAAGTGTGTACTGACTTTGGAAATGTTCTGTACATCTGTTGCAGTGCAATACTGTTCCATGAACCCTTAGATAAGGAACTGTGACTGTTTCACTAGAACTACCAACAGCACCCATAAAATATCCAAAATTCTATAGTAGTAGTGGGATCCAAATTAACCTGTTTTCTATGTGTTTTCTCTAAGTCTCACATTTCACAAAATTTTCTCCAGTGTGGGTTAGAGGTATCCAGTAGCTGTCACGCTGTCTTTTTAGTTTCTTTGTTTGGAAATTCAGGGAACTCTAAGCACTACGGAATTTATGAGTAAAATATTATCCTGTGTGTTTGAAATATTTGAACACTGTCCATGCATGATGTATGCTACTGGTGAAAGAGTTTATTTATTCATTAACACATGGAAAAGTAGTAGTATCGCATAATGAAAAAGAAAAAAAAATTTTAAAGAAAAAATATTCTTAAAACTGCAGAGCTCTTCTAAAACACCATGTTGTCAGTCAGCCCAGCGGAGGTGGTGGAGGCAGGCGCGGGACTGGGAAGTGGGGCGCATTCTTGGCCCGTGCTCTGGGTGTCAGGCCGGACTCCCTCGCCCTGCCCCCGCGGCGCGCCTTCTCCAGCACCCACTCGCGCCCTTCCTCAGAAGCCCCGCCGCGCGAGCCCTTCACGGCTGTGTCCGATGCCTGCCTGCTGCCCACCGGGTGACCTCTTCGTCGCTGTGGTAAGGGGGCCTCCTTCGGAGGTGGGAGACTGCAGAAGCCCCTTCTTTCCATTGTTTCACCTTCTCTTCCACCAAGTGCCCTCTCTGGTCCCCATGGGGGCGCCTGGGTGGCAGGAGGAGGGGTGTGCAGCTCCTCACCCAGCTCACAGCCCTTGTGCACGCGTCCTCCTCTGATAAAGCCTACCGGGAAGCAGACCGGGCCAGGCCGGGGCCCAGGAGGCAGGGGCTCCAGCGAGGCCTGGGCCGGCTCCGGGCTCTGCGAGCCGGCTACAGCCCAGTTCCCAGCACCACGCGAGGCAGAGGCAGAAAAACACGGCTGCCCACTCGTGGCAGAGCTGACCAGGCTCCTCTAGGGCCCATGTCGGCCTCCAGCCCTGGCTGAGGTGCAGTGGGATCCCCAGCAGCCCGAGGGGAAGAGTCCTGAAAAGGGAAAAAAAAATTGTACTTGTATATCTTGACACATTTTAGAATTCTAGTTCTAAGTTTGGTCTGTATTTCCTAAAAAGAACATTAATATTTACCGTGTTAGTCAGCTTTTCTTCACGATGAACAAATGTCTCAGAAAAACAATTTAAAAGGAGAAACATTTATTTCAGCTCACAATTTCAGAAGTTTCAGTATATGGTCCACTGTCTCCAGCTTGTGGTGAGAAAGAACATCCCACGGCAAGGCTGTGGTGGAAAAACCCTGGTGATCTCATGGCAGTCAAGAAGCAGATACAGATGGGAAAGGTGGAGACCCAGCAAGGGATCCAGAAAAACGACAACCTTCAAAGATATGTCCCCAGGGACTGCCTCATGCAATTAAGCCCCATCTCTCAATAAGCTCACTGAGCCATAAACTCATGAATGAATTGATCCACTGATCCCTCACCATCCTTTCAGTCCCCCAAACTCCATCATGTGGCAGCCAGCGTTTCAACACAATGAGGGACATTTTGGATCTCAATCAGAACAACTTTGATGCCTGACATGTGAGTTACACCTAGTGAATAATTAGTCTACCTCCAAATACTGAAACAGTGACATATAGATATCATCATAAATTGAAATGTGACAGAGTAGTGATCAAAACATATTTGTAGTTTATTAAATTATTAATGACCTTAAAGTAAAGGAATTATTGAGTGCAAAGCCTGTCCCTGAGTTCACTCATATACATGCATTTATCTGATACATTAGAATGACAGATGTTCTATCAACCACCTTAGTTAGAAATGTATTATAAGCTGGTTTTAGAAATATATATGCATATGTTTATGTTCATATATATTTACCTGCATGTTTATTTGTGTTTATATTTGTGTTTGTTGAAGTATCTTTTTTAATGTCCTAACTGCTCGAGGAGCTCTTTTCAACCAGGAAAGACTCATGTTAATAGCTTTGATTCTGATGTACATGTCAGGGAATGCAGAAGATTAAATTTCTTTGATATAACAAGGTGATCAACCCAACACTACTCAAAGTGGGCATCTAAGATCACAGTGGAAAGAAATGATGGAATAGCATAAGTAATAAAAATCAAAGGAATGAGGAGTATTGAGTCATGTTTGTAATTGTATTCCATTAAAATTCTCTTTTAAGTTAAATTTTCTAAGATGGTTCATCTGTGCCTCAGCCACAGCTGCTTTCTGATATATTCTGTATCATTAGGAGAAAGTACACAAGTTTAAAAAATTTTTTTGATAGATCTATGGATAAGAAGTATTGTGTAATCTGATACAAATTAAGTGTTAAAATGGAAATCTGGCTTCATGATCACAACATAAAAAGGATATTTCATTGAATAAGTGTGTTTTTTGCCATGTGTGAAATTAGTGTGCTTATATTCTCAAAATTCATGGGATTGCTAAATGCCACTTAAATTGTCAGGAGTTGATTTCAGCTACTATGGACAGAAATAAACTGCTCTGTATTATGGTTCTTGTTGGTGAAAACAAAGGCCCCAGAGTTCAATCCTTGGTGCTAACCGTGACTAGATATTTTGTGAACCAAATGATGTTCTCAAGTTGAACTACCAGAAAAAGTGAACTGATGGTAATCATAAGAATCAATATTAGATCAATAGTTTCTTCACTATAAAGCTAAACTCTTAGGCAAAGAGCTTCTTCTATCATCAAATACATGTCATCCTCGCAAAACCCCAATGGAGGGACTTTTGCTCCTAGAAAAGATGGAATACAAGATACCACCTTTACCTTCTCCACTGAAACAAATTTAGACAAACTACATATTACAACATTTTTAAAGTGACTGAACTTTAAGCCATAAAGGACAGTTATGCTGAAAGATAAAAAATCAAACAAAATTGCCCTAGCTTAGTGATTTGAGAGAGTTTCCAGGGTATGACATAGATATTGAGGTGAGCTCCAGTTCTCTATAAATTGAAGTACAGAGTTAAGAATCAGAGAATCTAAGGCAGATAGATTTCATAACACAGTTTACCAGAGAGTAGAGAATCGCATTGGCAGAGTCCTAGAGTTCTGGAAAGACCTCTTGAATAGTCAGCCCAGTGCTGATCAGTGCACACATGTCAGCAAAGTAGCCAAGGCCAGGGAAAGAGCCATTTGGAAGGATTAGAGAGAACAGAGCCCAGAGCCCTTGCGGGGTGAAAATAGTCCTTGTTTCTATCAACCAGACTGGAAAAGCTTGTAATTCAAGAGACCTTGGGTAGAGTGTTTAGGAAGGTTTTTGTTTCTTAGCGGGAATGATTACTCTAGAGAGTAATCATTAATAAGACTTTGAAACTGTTTCCAAACAATTATGTCTCAGAACAAATATTAATAAAATTTATAGAGGCACACAATTATCCAGAAACTAATAAAGTTGAGTCTACTATATCTGCTGTTAATTCATGGATTCCAAGCTAGACAAGTAGCAGGACAATAAAATCTATAATGAGGAAGATAATGAATTAATACCCAGCCAGAATTGACACATATGTTTTATTTTTATTTATTTTTTACTTTTGGTCATTTTAAGACAAAGTCTCCCTGTGCAGTTCAGGTTGGCCTTGAGTTCACTTTGTAGCCCAGACTAGTCTCGAACTCAAAACAATCCTCCTGTCTCAGCCTCCTGAGTGCTTGGATTACAGGCATGAGCTGACACATGTTATAATAGTAGACAAGGACACGAAAGCAGTTATCAAACATTTATTTCAGTTATTCAAAATGGTCAGAAGAAGCAATTGTATATGTAGAAAAATATCCAAATTGAACTTCTAGAGGTTCAAAGTGCAATGTCTCAAAAATACACTGAATATGACTAACAGCATGGCAGATACTGAAGTATCAGACAGTAGTGAAATTGAAGGCATTGCGGAACATATCCAAAAATGAAACACAGTGAGAGAAAATTTTTAATGCAAAGAGCATCAGTGACCTGGGAAAATTCAAGAACGCTGATGTACTGGTCTTTGAAGACCTCAAAAGAGGAGGATAGAATATATTTGAAGAAATAATAGCTCCACAACTCTTGAATTCACCAACAATTAAAAAACAATGGATAAAAGGTAACAAGAACATAAAGAAAACAATATTAACACATATTTAAATCAAATTACTGAAAACCAGTTATAAAGAGAAAATATTAAAGGTGGCCAGAGGAAAAAAGACATATCACATACAAAAATAAAGGTAAAACTTACAGCAGATTTCATGTCAAAAGCAAAGCCAGAAGGCCAATATCTTTCAAATAATAAAAGGAAAACTTTCTTAACCAAGCATTTATGCCCACAAATATATCTTTCAAAATTGAAAATGAAATAAAGACTTTTTAGACATACTCACAATGAAATATTTTATCATCAGCCAGTCAGCACTGTGAGGAAAGTTAAAGGAAGAATTCAGGCATAGGAAAATTATTCATGTGAGGAAGATCCATGGGCACCACAAATAATGTTTGCACTGAAAATGTCTGATATTCTTCAATAGCATTTAATTTTTTTGATAACAATTTACTGCTGCAGAAATAGTAACAACACTTCGAGTTTTTCATATTATAAGGGATATGAGAACAGTGCCTCCGGGGAGAAGAGAAGTGGAGATGTGCTACTGAAGGATTCTCTTATCAAATGTGAATCGGGATGCTACCACTTCAACTGAGACAGTGATGAGTTAAAAATATGAGCCACCAATTCTAAAGCAACTACTAAAATAATAATCAAAAAACTATTCTTAACAAATTAACATGAAGATAAACAGGAACAAAAAATATTTCAAAGCACAGAATAAAAAGAGGTAAAAGTAAGCAAAAATCATGGGAGCAAAAAGACAAGCAGAAGCACAATAAACTTAGATCTAAGCATATTGATAATCATATTAAATTAAAGTAGTTGAAACACTCACCATTATTGTCATACTGGGTTTTTAAAAAAATCAATATCCAATTGTATTCTGCCTATTTGAAATGCACTATAAATGTAAAATAGATTTCACAATTGAAAAGCCAGACAAATGAACACTATTGGTCATTGGGGAAATGCAAACTTTATCTGTAAATATTAAAATGGAAAATTTCAGAGATAAATAATTGATAAGTTTTAAATTGCATATTTTTCTGAATAACATAATGAAATTACATTGGTTCCTGGGACAAGACTCATCACTTTGCTGCTTAGACTATCCGTGCATTTGTCACTAGGTATTTTTCTTGGTTATTGGATTGACTGTCATATATTAGTCTTGGACTCAAGTTCTTATTTTATTTATTGTCCCAGGGCACTATAATAGTTCTCCTGACAATTCTTTTTACAATAATATCTATCATTATAATTACTTTACCTTTACTATTAATATCCTACTGTGATTAATTTATACATTAAACTTCATCAAAAATAGGTACATATAGGAAAAAACAGTATATATATGATTCAGTACTAGTCCATCCCCTGGAGGTATTGGAAATACTAGTTAAGGGGAGACTGGCATTTACCTAAGACAAAAGAAAGCCTAAGTTTATAGGCTTTGTCCATAAATACCCATATACCTTTTATTATAAGAGGCAAAATGGGAAAAACCCAAATGGTGGTCTATCCATGCATGGAATACTACGTAATAGTGATGAGAAATTAATTAGTATTAAGTGCAGCAACATGTCTGAGTCTAAGAATAATTATACTGAAGGAAAGAAGCTAGACACAAGGGGGTGTACACCTCTGATTTTATTCATGTGAAGTTTTAGACAATCCAAACTACAGTACTGTATATGTCAACAGGCAACTGGTTACCTGGGGCGAGAGAAGACAGAAAAGATAAGAAGGAGGAATTACCAAGAGTGAGGGAGAAAATTTGAGAATGAATAGTATAATCTTTGCTACCTTGATTTTGTCAATGATTTCAGAGGAGTGTATAAAAGAAAATAAGCAAGAGAAAAAAATTCATTTAACTGTGCAGCTTATTCTAGGTCAGCTAATGTTCAATCG